GTCATGTCGCCAGGAAACTGTATCGACAGACGCTTCCCTCGCTGGCTGGGGCGCGGTCTCGGACGGCCGCTTTGCCAGGGGTCTGTGGCAGGACCATCATCATTCTTGGCATATAAATTGCCTAGAGATGTTGGCTGTGTTCAGGGCTCTGAGGAGCTTCCTCACAGACATCAAAGGTTACGATGTCTCAGTGGTAGCTTATCTTAACCGACAAAGGACACTCAGATCGCGCCCTCTATCCAGATTGGCGCATCAGATCATTTTATGGTCCCAAGGGAAAATATTATCTATAAGAGCAATATATGTCCCGGGGGTTCTGAATCAGGGAGCAGACATCCTGTCGAGGCAGGGGCTGAGGCCCGGGGAATGGAGACTCCATCCAGAGGTGGTGGAGTTCATATGGCAGAGGTTTGGACCAGTGGAAGTGGATCTGTTTGCGTCTCAAGGGACGTCCGTCCCACTGTCCACTTTGGTTCTCCCTCACTCATCCAGCCCCACTTTTGCTAGGTTCGACGCAGTGTCTCGTTCCCTTCTCAGGGAACAAGGGTTATAGTCATAACCCGAGACGTTTTCTTGAACGAGAAATTCATGTTAATTTTCAGCAAAATTACGCCGGATGACACAAAACACATCAGCACTCTTTTGACAGATCCAGGGCTTTCAAGTACAGATTGAACTTGCACATTTTTTATCCCAGCCTACGGACAGTCGGATCGGCAGAGGGTTATTAACAAAACAGTTATTCTAAGAGTATGTCTATCACTTAAAATCGTATCATGCTTTGTCTACTCTTTAAACTGCATTATGGTAAAAATACTGCGCAACAGCTTTCTTACCTGTATGGGATGGTGTTTTGTTTTAGGCGGAGCTGATGGAAAGCCAGTTTCTTTCTACTTTTTCCCCTCCTTTTGGCCTAAAACACTGTGTTCATGGTCATTCAGTTTGAAATGTTGACTTCAAACACAGTTTTTTTTTTTTTTTTTTTTTTTTTTTTTAGTTATTTAGATAGGGACAGATACAAATCACATAGATGAACTTTGACAGTAATCTGATGCATGTATCATAATGTGATACATGCATCACATTAGTCAAGTGATTCGATCGGGACTCGACTCACTTGACTCGGGACTCGACTCACTTGACTCGGGACTCGACTCACTTGACTCGGGACTCGACTCACTCGACTCACTTGACTCGGGACTCGACTCACTTGACTCACTTGACTCACTTGACTCGGGATTCGATTCTTTCGAGTCGGCTGGCACGTGCTCAAACTCCAGTTCGGCCGGCGAAACCTCCGCTGTATCTGGATTAGCAAGTTCAACAAAACCAGTGCGGAATACGGGCTCGAGGGGTCCGATACGATGGGTGGGTTCGGCAGGAACGGTAAACTTGAAAGCCCCTCTGACGGTCATCAAGGAAGGATCGAACAGTTTGTGGAGATGAGGCTTTAGCGGCGTGCGGAACGAGTGAGAGAAATCAGCCGCAAACGAACCTCCCCGACGCAGGGACAAGAGCAGTTCCTCAGGATCTTCTCCTGCGGGGAGTTCAAAAGCCTCTCTGAATAGGGCGATAAATACCTCATAAGAAGGGAACGACATCCGACCTGGTTCCCAGAATGTACCAACCCACTCCAGAGCCTTTCCAGTGAGCAGTGAGCAGATGAATGAAACGCGGTCGTCATCCGAGGTGTACAACTGGGGCTGAAGATTCATGTATACGCTGCACTGCTGAAGGAATCCCTCACACGCCACAGGTGAGCCATCAAACTTGTCAGGAAATGCCAGACTGAGATAGTCAGATGCGGTACTCACACTGGGTTGCGGTGGAACAGGTGCAGCGGCAGTTCGGGCTTGATCAGCCGTTGTGCTTGAGCTCTGCGTAGACCAGGTTTGCACGGAGCTTGCTAGTTCCTCGCGGAGAGAAGTTAGTCTCGCCAACTGAGAACGATGAGAGGTTAGCATGGAAGCTCGGGTCTTGACCACGGTGGATAGATGCTGAAAGTCTGCTGGATCCATGTTTGGCGAAGTATTCTGTAACGTACTGACAGAGGCGGTCGGATCCAAATGCAGAACTTTATTAAGAGGGAACATCAGAATCGAAGTCAAACAGGCAAAAGTCGGGGCAGGCAGCACAGGTTCATAAACAGAGTCCAGATAACAGGCTAAGGTCAGGAATCCAGGGAAATACAAAGAACTAGAAACAGAGAATAATGCTCGGAATGGTACGCTTACGCTATACAATACTTCGCCCTGAACACAGGGAAAACACGGGCGAATTTAATTATTTGCGCGAGTAGATTACATACATAGTCAATGCAAAGACGCCAATAGACGCATCATTCGCGCCGGGCGTTGCTATTGACGCGAATTGGGCGACGCGTTTGCCGCAAATGTCTTCCGCGCAAGTTGAAAAATTTGAACTCGAGCGAATGTTCAAGCGTCTAACTAAACGCGATAGACGCGTATTTGACGCTCTATTCGCGTTCGGTGTGAACACACCATAAAAGTTTGCTTAGAGGTATTTCTTACTCAAGCAATGCGGTATTTGACTCTGGACAGGCCTATCCAATAGGAGCAGACTTTGAGTGGTCTTGGATGGCAACAGTGCATTATGGGTTTTGAAGTTTTTTCTACCTTTTTGGCAAAAGGGTTTTCTTCAGTATAGCACTGATTTTTTCTCACCTTTCCACCACCAAGTTTTATTGAAAGACTGAAAGTCTGTTAATGAAGCGCTGAATGTGAATCATTCAGCGTATAGTTTTTTGTGCAATGGTATAAATACTTGTAATTTACTTTGTGGGAAAGGTTTATTAGGTTTTATAGTTTGCTATTTTTCTTTCTTTTTTTAATATATAAAAATGATCAACCAAATGTTCTAAATAAATGTGCCTATTATGCCTATAAATGTGCCTATGACAGCGCTTCACTGAGAGATTGTCCTGTGGCTGATGTTGGCAGTGACAAGAACACTGAGTAATGAGGTTCACAGTGTTGCAGAGTGCAAAGTGGAAGCTGCTCTTTAGTGACATTTACCAGTGAAACGTGGTCTATTCTTTACTATGCACAGGGGATAATGGTGAAATCAGTGCTGAACAACAGTTTGATAGAGTCCTTGGGTGTCAGAGAGTAAGATGAAGGCTTGTTAATGAGGAAGATGTCACCAAGGTGTACAATATATGGCCTGTTTTCATGTGTGGCAGCAAGTCATTGACATGTGTCCCCCAGTTTTGTTTCTGTTTGTTTGTTTTTTATCCGCCATTAGAGCATTTCCCCATTAAACACTCCCAGTGAATTTAACTTACAAAATTGTCTGCAACAATCATACCATGAATTTGTTTAAGTCTTATTTATTTGTCTATTTACTTATTCATTTATCTATTCATATTTTTTTAAGTAAAAAGTAAATTGAATATTAAAAATTGAATATTTATATAAATATATAATATTACGTCAAAATGTGTTTTGAAAAAAACTTTAAACTAAAATTGTGATTGTCTTTTCTTCCCTATTTTGACATGTTATTGTTTTAAATTCATGTTCCTGGTAATGTTGAATCAGAATATCTTCCTCTTGCAGCATCTCTTCTCTGATGATGTGGGCGGGGCTATAACCTGTCACTCACATGAGATCAGCCAATAGCAAACCACAACCATCCAATCAATTCCTCACAGACACAATCAAGCCCCGCCCACATTTGCTCTTGTTCCAGAAGCGTTTCACTCGGATATACGGCACAATACAGAAGAAAAGAATAGTGCAACTTCTGTTTCATGCCGACTTTAATGTAATTACATTACCAATCAAGTACCTTTGTACTTTTAAAATTGAAAACTAGGACTTTTACTGGAGTTATATATTATTTTGGCATCTGTGCTTTTACTCAAGTACTGGATTTGAGTACTTCGTCTACCACTGTGTGTAGAAGTGTGTTTTAGTTTGGCTTAAGTCAGCTAAAAATAGCTTTTTAGAGCAGAGGATGTGTCAGGGTGTGTTCACAAGCAGGATCCAATCAGATTCCCGTTAGTGTGTTTGTTCCGTCGACAGATGGGCCGTGTGGCGTCCCACAAAGCTGTTCCACAATACTGTGCCAAAACTATTGAAGAGCACCGCTCCCACTGATTCCATTAACTCGGATGGAGCCTTTGCTGGAATGAGATTAAACTATCTGAATTGCATAGATCAGAACATTTACACTGAAATTGAAAAGATGGAGATTGTAAGAAATGGCAGTATTCTGCCCTCAAATATGAATCCATCTGATTTTATTATAACCACGTCACATTAATCTCATATATAAATGAATAAATGTCATTGTGCAATTAAGAGTACAGTATTTATTTACTTTAAAGCGTCAGTTTTATCAGGTGTTGGTTTTCAAGTTCATTGAAAGCATGTTAAATCACCATGGTAAAACCAGCATCATCTTACTATTGCGACTGCAATGCTTGTCATAAGGCACTGCCACAGATTATTTTCCTTTTTCCTAATATGATCACTCAGATCATCAGGATCAAGTCAGTTAGAAATACCAAGGGAACACTCTTATTATTAAGGGTTATTTTTATTACTGTTTTAATTACATTTTAAATCAATGTTAATGTTAAAGCGCTTTTTTCACAACATTTTTTTTTTTTAGTATTAAGCAGTTTTATTAAAAGGTTTCTTCCGATGAGGTTTTTTTCTTCATAAGGATGTTTGTATCACTCTGAAACATCAAAATAAATGTTAATGTAAAATCAAAAATATAGTAATAACACAAAAATAAAAAATAAATTGTATTCAGGTCACTGTGTGCGTGAAATGCATTTTAATGTAAATACACTTTAAATAAATGAATAGATGAGAAAAAAATGTTTTGCTCGTCCATAATGCATCAGTGTATGTGCACTTAGAGAATTATTCTGTGTAATAAATATCCTATATTTGAAGTCTTGAAAAGATCATGACATTATACATTTAATATTGATTAAAGAGTTTGTTTTCTCCATGTCTTTATAGACCGAGCTTGCATGCGGATGCCAAACGCTTCTTCAATAAGGACACAGGAGTTCTGGAGGTTCCTCTGACTGTACAGGTCCCAGATCAGGTAGAACGTCTCTTTCTCAAAGCAAGGTTTCAGATCCACCCTTTTCTTTGTCCTGTGGCTCATCTTCACTCAATATTCTTTATGCTTGTATTCCCATTAAATGCACATGTAATAACTCTCACTCTTCAAAAGGCTATTTTTCTTGTGCAAAAGTTGTGTATATATATAAATATTGAGAGAGAGAGAGAGACTATTAACCAGTTGCTTATTATCAAGCATATTAATATGATATTGGCTGTTTATTAGTACTTATAAAGCACATATTAATGTCTTATTCTGCATGACCATATTCTACAACCCTTAAACCTAAACTTAACAACTACCTTAGGAACTATTAATATGCATTAATTAGGAATTTATTGAGGTAAAAGTCGTAGTTAATAGTTAGTTAATAATGAGATTTAGGCCCTAGTGTGATCAGATTGTTGGATTTATGATAAAAAGTTGCTTTTCCACATGCATAAATCACTGCCATGATGCAAAGGTGGTTTTGCTCGTGTTGATAAAAAATAAATGTTTCAGTTATTGAAACCTCCTATCCTCTGGATTTAGCTGGTCATTTAAAAAAAAAAAATTGTTTGAATGGTCTTTCTTTTACGAACCCGTCAGTAAAGGATGTTAATAGGAAACAGAAGTGAAAGGGGAGATAGTGTTTTAAAGGGTAATCAAGTGAAATAATTCCACCAGTTATGGGATATTGTTGATTATCTAGGGCTAGGCTATATGAAGAGCACAGTGTCTGTTGTGTTTTGTACATTGTGAGAGCAGAATAAAACCAAAAAGGCATGAACTCACAAGTCTGTCAATGTGACAAATATGATCATTTACAGCATAAGCGTGATCCTGTCACCAATAGCACGTGTAAATGAGGCCTGTGATAGCTTTAGATTTGGCTCGGTTCCTCCTTAAACGCATGTCTTTAGGATTTATTTCACCCATTTTATCAGCCACTAGGTGGAAATCTTTTCTGTTTGAAATACAGGCTCGACTGTGAACACAAGCTTACATCACGTTTGCTGTTTGCTTTGTATGTAATGACATAAACATAGAATAACAGAGCTGTGTGATGATGACAGACTGGTTAAACACTCATTATCATAATCCTCAGATCTGGACACTGGTTATCTCCGCATGCTTTAGCAGAAAGCAGGATCTCACCTCTTCCTCTCTTCCTCTTCCTCAGCCAGACTCTTCATTCACGCCAGGACCCTCACTGATCTCAAACCAGTGCCCGGAGCTGGCACACATACACAGCCTCACTTCACTATCATGCTTCGAATAACTTTAGTCATATCTGTAACAAATCATAATCACTGCATGCAAATCAACATGTAGAATTTTTTTGAAGAAAATGGCGATCACTCCGCTCTATTATTCATTTACACTTGAATCAGTCCAGTTTTATTAAACACATAATTCAGGCTCTAAAATCTAAGAAAATAATTTTAGAAGAAAATAATATTAAAGTTATTGAGTTATTTCAGAAATGTTTCCTCCTCCAACAAAATCATATGCTCAAGCATCCCAGCTAACAAAAATATATTCTAAGAACATTTTGCTAAAGGTCATTTTAGGTTATGAAAACGTTATTTCTGAATATTCTCTAAATAGCTTTTTCAATGTTTTAAAAACGTTTGTTCTCGGTTACGTGAATCAAACATTTTGCAAACATTATTGGAGCGTACATTTGAATGTGTCTTTGAACATCCTGAAACAAATAGTAACATTTAAAAAAACATTAGACGGGCTGGAGCCCTTGCTATAAAAGCTATAATCATTTTCTTACTTTACATTTCTTGTGCTTGTTATATCATTTTTGGTTAGAGTGGAAATCCATTGACTAAATAATGTTAAATGACTGCTTCATTTCCACTTTATAAAGCAAAGCAGTTGAGAACATTTCTAAATCACAGAATGGAAAATAACTCACAAAACGTCAGAAATGGCTCTTTCTGTGTCAGTACAACAACAACAGTGCACAACACCCAAATTCAGAAGTTTACTTAGAGAATAACATTTAAAGGATTAAGAGAGAGAGAGAGAGGCTGAGAGAGAGGGAAGAGAGAGAGGGGAGAGAGAGAGGGAGGGAGAGAGATAGTCAGAGAGAGAGATAGTCAGAGATAGAGAGAGAGATAGTCAGAGAGAGAGAGAGGGAGAGAGAGAGAGAGAGAGAGAGAGAGAGAGAGGGAGTGAGAGTCAGGGAGAGAGAGAGAGAGAGAGAGAGAGAGAGAGAGAGAGAGAGAGAGAGAGAGAGAGAGAGTCAGAGAGAGAGAGAGAGAGAGAGAGAGAGAGAGAGAGAGAGAGAGAGAGAGAGAGAGAGAGAGAGAGAGAGAGTCAGGGAGAGAGAGAGAGATAGTCAGAGAGAGAGAGAGAGAGAGAGAGAGAGAGAGAGAGAGAGAGAGAGAGAGAGAGAGTCAGGGAGAGAGAGAGAGAGAGAGAGAGAGAGAGAGGAGAGAGAGAGAGAGAGAGAGAGGAGAGAGTCAGAGAGAGAGAGAGAGAGAGAGAGAGTCAGGGAGAGAGAGAGAGAGAGAGAGAGAGAGAGATAGTCAGAGAGAGAGAGAGAGAGAGAGAGAGAGAGAGAGAGAGAGAGGTTCAAAAATCTTTAATTTTTACATTTCAAAAATCATACATTCATATACTCATTCTAAAATAAAAATAGAACATATAAACCCACAGATGTTTAAAAAATATAATAATAATTAAAAATTCAGAACCATCACACCATCATACATAGTACATAAAACATCATTAATGCACCATATTTCAATAAAACTCCTGACATCATTTACAATATCATAATATGCGTACTCCACTTTAAGCCTCCCTTCCACTAATTTCCTAAACATAATTTCAGGATCCGTGGATGCAAGTTGTAAGCCTTTGTTCTTCCTAGTCTTCCACACTGCCAATTTTGCTGTCCCAATCAGATAACTCAATAAACACACTTTCTTCCTCATCAAAAAGCCATACTTTAACCCTCCAATGAACACTTTATCCGAAAAATCCTCATCAAATTCCCTGAACCATTCTTAAGAAGATTAAAAAGACTCTGTAGTCTTTCACATCTTAAAAACAAATGTTCCAAATCTTCCTCTTCACCACAAAATCTACATTCCCCACCCACTGCTGGATTCAAGTGTGCCACATGTCTGTCTGTAGCTATTGCCCTGTGAATAATCCTCCATTGTAGATCAGCGGTTCGCTTCTCCACTGGAGGTTTATACAGTGCTCTCCATCTGTCCCTCACGAGGAACTCTGGTGTCAACAGTTCTGGCCACCCAGAGGCTTTCACTCTCCTGAGTGACTCCTGATGTAGGACCTTCACCGTGATGTGATAAATGGCCTTCTTTGATGTAGACTCGAATAGTTCTATTTGAGGAAACTCAAAAGACAAAATTGAACCAGCGTCCACACCTTCCAGATCTTCCTTACTTGCGGGAGCTATTTTTATCTTCGGAAATCCCTTCTCATCAGGTTCCTTCCTTGCGATGATCTCTCTGTAGCTGCTTGGTATTACATAAAAAATTTCCTCCATCAGTTTTGCTGTAAGTCTTAGTGACCGTAATCCTGTCACCTCCCTGAGGGTCTCTGCTGATCTCCATCCATTACTGTCCAAGAGGTGCCCCAGTTTTACAACGTTGTTCCTTAGTAAGCATGTCCGTATACTCACAGAAGATAACATCCTTGTCTGGATCATTGGATTAAAAAGCAAGGGTTCTTCAGTGACCCAGTGACCTTGAGGATCAATGTCCCGTTCTACTTTAAAAACAGCTCTCCAGACCTTCAACATTGACTTGTAAAATGGTGTAAGCTCAGACAAGCTCACCTCCTCCAGTTTTATTAGGAATAGATGTTTATCCAGTCCCAGTCCTCCTGCTCTTTGTAGCAAAGCACAAGCAGTTTGGGCCCAAGTCAAGTCCTTATGATAGAGGAGTCTCTGTGCAGCTTGTATCCTGAATGCACTGATACGACTCCTCACATCCACCAACCCCTGGCCACCTTCCTGGACAGGTAAGTACAGTGCTGCTGCCCGGATCCAGTGCTGCCCACTCCAGAAGAAGTCCACCAGTGCTCTTTGTACACGGCAGATCAGTTCATCAGGTGGCTCCATGACAATAAACCTGTGCCACAGTGTGGAGGCGGTTAGGTTATTAATAACCAAAACTCGCCCTCTATACGATAACTGTGGTAATAGCCATTTCCATTTAGACAATCGGGCAATCACTTTCTCCAGCATTCCCTCCCAATTCTTCATCTGAAATTGACTATTCCCTAAATATACACCCAAGACTTTCAGCCCCTCCCTACCCCATTTCAAACCACCAGGAAGCTGCGGAGATCTTTTACCTATCCACGGTCCAATAATGAAACCCTCACTTTTTCCCCAGTTTAATCTAGCCGAGGATACCTTCTCGTATTGCTCAATGTTCTTAATTAAAACTGTAACATCATCCTGGCCTGTAATAAAAACAGTAACGTCATCAGCATAAGCCGAAACAGACACCATAGAACTGATGTCTCCATTCGGAATTAAGACTCCATTGAGCTTTCTCCTTAACTTGCACAACAGAGGTTCAATGACAAGGCTATATAACTGTCCTGAAAGTGGACAGCCTTGCCTAATTCCTCTAGAAACAGGTATTGGGGCACTTAAACCACCACCAGCCTTTACAAGAACAAATGCATTGGAGTACAACAACTGAATATATGAAATAAATGTATCACCAAAGCCAAAATGCTGTAAAACATTATAGAGATACCCATGGTCAACTCTATCAAATGCTTTCTCCTGATCTAGAGAAAGAACACCAATTTCATAATTATTGAGCTGACCTATTTCAATAACATCACGTAATAATGATATATTGTCCATTATAGATCTTTCAGGAATGCAGTATGTCTGATCCTTCTGCACCAATAAACCAAGATAACACTTTAATCTATTAGCCAAACATTTTGAGAATATTTTGTAGTCAACACACAACAATGACACTGGTCTCCAATTTTTTAGAAGTCCCAGATCTCCTTTTTTTGGAAGTAGTGAAAGAACTGCCCGACTACAACTTATGGGAAGTATCTTACTTTGACAGCATTCAGACAGTACCTCATAAAAGTCTTCTCCTAAAACACTCCAAAAACGTTGATAGAATTCAGCAGACAATCCATCAATTCCTGGGGATCTACCAGTGGACAATTGCTGCATTGCCTCTGTAAGCTCTTGAAAAGTAATGTTATCATCCAGAGTCTTTTTGTGCTCACTCTCAATCTTTGGTAGATCACCAAGTAGATCCTCAGCACTTTCCTGGTTACAGTTTTCAGAAGCATATAATTGTGAATAGAAATCTGCAGACATTTTCCTTATTTCCACAGGATCTGTTGTTATAGAACCATCATGACGACGAAGATGATACATTTGCTTCTGTGTTGTACTTTTCTTTTCAAGATTGAAAAAAAATGTGCTAGGGGTGTCCATGTCTTTAATAGAGCAAAATCTTGCCCTTATTAGCGCTGTCTTTACTTGTTCTTGAAGAAAAGTTCCAAGTTCTTTATTTTTCCTTCGTAGAGCATCATCATGCACAAGTTCATTATTATTAAAAATTTCTTGCTCTAAAAGTTCAATGTCTCTTTGTAATCTTTTCACAGTTTCCTTCACCACTGATCCAATATGAGATGAATAATTCTGACAAAAAATCCTTATGTTAACTTTTCCGACATCCCACCACTGACTGAGATTCTCAAACGAATCTTTCTTCATTTTCCAGTTCTTCCAGAAAAAAATAAATGAATCACAAAAATTAATGTCTTGTAGCAATTTAGCATTAAAATGCCAGTAATAACTAGGTTTTGACATATTTTTTAAATTGAAATCAAAAATAACCATGTGATGGTCTGAAAAACCATTAGGCAAAATAGAAGCATTCGTCACCCTATTATTCCATTCTTTACCCAAATAAAATCTATCTAATCGTGCACCACTGACTCTATTATCATTTACTTTAAGCCAGGTATATTGTCTATATCTTTTATTAATCATTCTCCACACATCTACTAATTCAAATTCATTCAATACTTTTACCAACATCATACTTGATTGAGTATGTGGCTCTTCACCATTTCGATCAATTGTAAAGTCTGTGGTGCAATTCCAATCTCCTCCCACAACAATACACACATTACTATCAATTGTCCTAATTAACCTTGTCATTTTCATAAAAAAATCCAACCTTTCAGTCCCATTATTTGATGCATAAACATTCATTAACACAAATACCATTCCCCCAACCTCAATCTTAGTTAACAACAGTCTACCTTTTATGACCTCATCCACAGCTAAAATATTAACATTAATATTTTTAGAAAATAAAATAGCAACCCCTGCACTGTTATTTGTCCCATGACTTAAAGTGAGCTTCCCTTCCCACCACATGTTCCATTCATTCTCATTATCAGTATCAGTATGGGTTTCTTGTAAAAAAGCTACATCAACCCGGTTAATTTTAATAAACTCTGAAACCATTGCCAATTTTGTCCTAGCTCTACCTCCATTTATATTCAAGGAGCCCACCCTTAACAGCCCCATAAGAAAAAGGAAATAAAAGAGACAGGACAGGTATAAATGTGACATACAAAGTTTAGAAATCACCATGTGCAACTTCTTCATTTGACTTTTTTCAAAGCATTCATTTTATCTTTCCTTAACCTTGTTATCATTTTTTTCAGACGAAATCTCTTTTTTTTATCTAAGCCTTCATAACTGACAGTTTTCTGCAGGGACAACACTGACCCAATGAATTTATCTGTGTCTGGAAAAAAATCCGTAACTTCCACTACTTTTCCAAATGTTGCATCCAAAAAGTTGTTAATTTCCTGCAATGTGTATGTATCCTCCAAAGCTTGAGAACCTATCTCAGAAATATCAGAGACTGACTCATCATCTCTCATCTCCTTATCCTCAGACATTTCAACGCATCCAGATGTCCCTGCCACTTCTTCATCCACAGTTCCATGAACTTCTACCTTTTTCTCACTAGACTCATTGCCACCATCCTCATCATCATCAACAACAACATCAGTTTGTTTATCACTATGAGCTTGCGCGTCACTCGTCTCTCCAGCATGAGACTGTTTAGCAGTCTCAGATCCTTTTGCTACATCGACGGCATCACTAGGCCCTGCAGTCTCCTCACCGTTCTGAGCTTTATGTGGACACGCCATCCTTTTATGGCCCACATCCCCACACTCAAAACACTTCATGCTTCCAGAGTTTGCATACACCATGTACGCCTTTCCTTCATGCCATACTCTGAAAGAAATATCTAATTCTGGCTCATTCAAAAACATGAACACCTGCCTCCTAAAAGACATGACATGCTTTAATGCTGCATTTTTACAGCGAAGTGGAACCATTTTAAGTGCGCTAGCAAACTTCCCATAACGAACTAATCCCCGCTCAATCTCGTCATTATTAATGAATGGAGGCACGTTTGATATTGTTACGCGTGTCGTCGGCGTAACCAGCGGTGAAACATTAATAAAATCACCACTTACCACAATTCCGTTGATAACGAGACGATTAGCTACCTCTTCCTCCTTTACAAAAATCACAACGGCCTTGTTCATCCTCGAAGCCGAAGAAATGTTTTCAAACCCGATCTGCTCTCCAACCGCGACTAGCACTTCTTCCACCTCCACACCTGGCGCGGGAACACACCTGACTCCATTACGCAGAGACACAAGTGGCGGTGGCTCTCCCGCGTTCGGGAACGACGCCATCCCAACACCGTCCCGAAAAAAAAAAAAAAAAAAAAAAAAAAAAAACTTTAATCAACTTAACCTAATTTCAAAATCAACTGTTATACCCCAAATTTTAAGAATGAAAAATAAGGAAAAAAAAAAAAAAAAAAAGTCAAAAACAGTCACCCTCTCCCCTGACGAATCCCCCACACACACCCAAACGCTCCCAGCGTGCACCGGAAGTGGAGAGAGAGAGAGAGAGAGAGAGAGAGAGAGAGAGAGAGAGAGAGAGATAGTCAGAGAGAGAGAGAGAGAGAGAGAGAGAGAGAGAGAGAGAGAGAGAGAGTCAGGGAGAGAGAGTCAGGGAGAGAGAGAGAGAGAGAGAGAGAGAGAGAGAGAGAGAGAGAGAGAGAGAGAGAGAGAGAGAGAGAGAGAGAGAGAGAGAGAGAGAGAGAGAGAGAGAGAGAGAGAGAGAGAGTCAGGGAGAGAGAGTCAGGGAGAGAGAGTCAGGGAGAGAGAGAGAGAGAGAGAGAGTCAGGGAGAGAGAGAGAGAGAGAGAGAGAGAGAGAGAGAGAGAGAGAGAGAGAGAGAGAGAGAGAGAGAGAGAGAGAGTCAGGGAGAGAGAGAGCAGGCAGAAGGTCAGAAACTGGGACTCAGTCCAGACTGGTGACCTGTATGGAAGGTTAGGGACTGATTCCCGGTAACCAGAGTGAGATATGTGAAGAGACACTAGTGATGTTCACAGAATCCCACTTTAGTTTCCGGCTGATGACGCAAGTACACACACTCCTTGCTCTGCACCGAATGAGCCAATGAGCGTGTCAAACCGGTTCATTCATCAAAAAAAAAATTTGTTGAGAACAAAAGCACAATATATAGAAAGAAATGCACACAAGAAACAGGTGTGAACAATTCATAGGTTTCAGTCAGGTCAGAGGCCGAGAACAGGCCGTATGTATAAGAGCTCAGAGTAAAACTTTAGTCTTAAATGTGTCAAAATTTGAAGAATGATGTAATCTGACTGTGATTCAGAAAGGTTCACCTAAGTGACTAGGTCTCACTTTGTAACAAATCCTTAACAAATCCGGGTCACTGAAGCCCTAAAATTTTACTTACAGTTTTTTTTTTTTTTGTCCAGAAAGCTTATTTCATTTCATTTTGATTCTTTTTTTTTTTTTACCTTTACATTACTAGATTTTATCAATACATAATTAATAAATAATAATTTAAGCACATTCTTCACATTCTTTCAACTTAAGTTTAAAATAACTCACAATTTCATGCATAACCCTTTTAATTCAGCTTAAAATATGTCACATGGAAATGCAAGCTTGATGTTTAGAATGGCGACTGACAGGAGTCATTGAGTTGCATTGATGAGTGTGTTCCCCAGGTGAAGCCTGTGCTGTTCACGGCTCATGCTGTGGTCACCAGCTCAGACCTGCGGTTCGAGCGCACCGAGCTGGAGTTCGGACACTGCTCCGTCCACGAGTCCACACACACTTCAGTGCGTCTCACTAACTGCTCCCTGCTGCCCCAGGAGTTCGGCTTTGTGGGTATTCCCAAGGTGAGCACAGTATCCAGCGCACGGTTTTCATCACGTCAATGAGCTCATTGTTTCTGCATTCAATTATTACATTGTTCATTTTGTATATGTACATTTCTGAAAGACATAACTTAGACAGTTCCCTCTGATAACAGATCACTCTGAACTGTAATGTGGATTTTCCATGCATTTTCTGTAAAGAAATGATGTGTATTGTGAAAAGCGCTATACAAATAAATGTGAATTGCGAACACTTCACAAAACTCACGCCAGAGAGATGTCACATGACCTCTTTTGGTTCAGTACATCCGCATTAAACTCTGCAACAGCACTGAACCATATTCAAAACAATACAAACACACAGCTGAGAGTGTTTTACCCAACCAACAAAAACACGCGTTTAGGATTTTGCTAACAGTTAGTGTGTATTTGATGTTTGATTTGTACCAATATTAGATTAATTAAAATGATTCATGCAAAACACATTTTTAATCAGAAATGAGTTTTGTGCTAAATCTGGTCTCACATTCAGAGAAAATGTGTAGAAATAATTTAAACTCAGAGTTTAGTGGAAAAACAGTTCCAGTGTTACTGCATTACTGAGAGAGAAAAGGAAACAAATGTATTATGAGATCCAGAGGCCTTGAAGATATAAACATACATGTACACAATATATCTTTTTCTGTCTCTCTAGTTTATTGATGTCCAGCCTAATGACGGTTTTGGCACTTTGCTGCCGTCTCAAAGCATGGACATTCACTTGATCTTCAGCGCGTCAAAGGCAGGAGAACACAACTTCACACTCACCTGCAAAACCAGCATTAACAGGTGAGAAGATGAGCAGTTTAGCGGAGGACTCAATCATTTAAGATGCAGCATTATTTTTCATTAAGAATATTCAGACATTAAACAATGTCACATTTAACACGTGCAAATGTCTATAAAGAGCACAAAAGCTCGCAGGAGGATATGTGATTCAGTTAAATGAGAGCACATGAAATAAACAGCAGTTTACCTGTCCAGTGCTGACTGTGCCAGAACACAAGGCTTTAACTCATACGGCTCCATCTAGTGGCCAGCAGTGCAAAATAAGAGTTCTGGGCACTATATGCTTCCTCTATAATATTTATATACAAAATCTGGAGTTTTCTATTAGTTTCAATGGCAGTTGCTCAATTGAAACAGGGCCCGTGGAAGTGCGTAATTTGAAATATTTGCGCATGGACAGTCAGTCACCTGTGAGCCATAAGTGTCATGTGACTAATTACTCTAAAAAAGTAGCAAGAAAGTGGCATCTTGATCGCTGATTGGCCTTCACTAGTGACTATCTTCTGATATCAATGAAATATCACTCTGTTTCATTCCATTCAAGTCCCCCTGTGGGGAAAATCCAGTTTTTAATGTTGTTTATTGTAACAAAGGTATGTTGTTAATGTTATAAACAATCCTTTCCCCCTGACTGGAAAAGCACGGTGTTACCCAGTGACATCCACTGACATCCGTCAGTTTTCTGTTGTTCTGCTTGCATGCGGATTTGTTTATTTAGTAGTTATTCTTTACCAATGAATTCCTATGGGTTTCAGCGGTGACATGTCCGTGTCGCAATATTATTCAAATTGCCTTCAAATTACATGACAATCGCAAAGTTTTTTATTTGCTTTTTTATACCATCTGTCTTCATCAAAAGACTGGGTGATTAATGAAGTAGGCTATTATCTAGTGTAATATTTAGGGGAGCAGCATTCTGACGAGAAAATGTCATCCAAGTGTCGCACATGCAATGTTATCAGCTTAAGCTTGAAGCAAAAACATGACCCCGGCACTTCCCATAATGAAATAAAGACTTTTGAAAGTTTTGTACATCAATCTGTCTTTATGTGATATAGCTCAACGTGAAAACTGTTTTAATGATAAGTCGACTGCTTTTCTGACGCAGTTCGAGTCCCGCGACTCTTTATTTACAAGTAATGAAATCACTTATTTTTCATCTTTACAATAATACCAGCATCACGTAGTGAAGTGCTTAATTGAAGTGGATGTAAGTTATTTCACAGGCTTTCGGAATAGACGAATGGCTCGTCTGTTTATTCGGCATTCACTACTTTAATAACTGCCCAAACTTAAGATCAGGGGTTTTAAAAACTTATTAGAGGTGCAGAAAGCCTCACAGAAACTTTTTGTCATTGCACCAAGCACAAATCAATCGTAATCATTACAAAGAGTACAGATCAAGCGCCTAACAAGGTCTACCCACGGCATTACCGGATGTGACGTTTTTGTGGGCGTTCTCAGTAATGCCAACCAAGTCTATGGGAAGGAGGAGGCGGGAACCGGCGAACTTTCAAACAAACTTTAATAATCATAAAATAAACAAACAACAAAACTAAGGCTGCGTCCCAATTCGCCTACTTATACTACGCCCTAAACATATGTACTCTTTTTGTGAAGAAAAAGTACATACTTTTGAGTGTGTAGCAGAAGAGTAGGCAAGCTTTGGGACACACTACTTCGTCATCTTTAAAGGACAGATCTGTCACGTGTATCCTGTCACCGTAAACTGCCCTGTCAATCATCCTGTCACCGTAAACTGCCCTGTCAATCATCCTGTCACCGTAAACTGCCCTGTCAATCATCCTGTCACCGTAAACTGCCCTGTCAATCATCATGTCACCGTACACTGCCCTGTCAATCATCCTGTCACCGTAAACTGCCCTGTTAATCATCCTGTCACCGTAAACTGCCCTGTCAATCATCATGTCACCGTAAACTGCCCTGTCAATCATCCTGTCACCGTAAACTGCCCTGTCAATCATCCTGTCACCGTAAACTGCCCTGTCAATCATCCTGTCACCGTAAACTGCCCTGTTAATCATCCTGTCACCGTAAACTGCCCTGTCAATCATCCTGTCACCGTAAACTGCCCTGTTAATCATCCTGTCACCGTAAACTGCCCTGTCAATCATCCTGTCACCGTAAACTGCCCTGTCAATCATCCTGTCACCGTAAACTGCCCTGTCAATCATCCTGTCACAGTAAACTGCCCTGTCAATCATCCTGTCACCGTAAACTGCCCTGTCAATCATCATGTCACCGTAAACTGCCCTGTTAATCATCCTGTCACCGTAAACTGCCCTGTCAATCATCTTGTCACCGTAAAGCGCCCTGTCAATCATCATGTCACAGTAAACTGCCCTGTCAATCATCATGTCACCGTAAACTGCCCTGTCAATCATCATGTCACCGTAAACTGCCCTGTCAATCATCATGTCACCGTAAACTGCCCTGTCAATCATCCTGTCACCGTAAACTGCCCTGTCAATCATCATGTCACCGTAAACTGCCCTGTCAATCATCATGTCACCGTAAACTGCCCTGTCAATCATCATGTCACAGTAAACTGCCCTGTCAATCATCATGTCACAGTAAACTGCCCTGTCAATCATCATGTCACCGTAAACTGCCCTGTCAATCATCCTGTCACAGTAAACAGCCCTGTCAATCATCATGTCACAGTAAACTGCCCTGTCAATCATCCTGTCACAGTAAACAGCCCTGTCAATCATCATGTCACAGTAAACTGCCCTGTCAATCATCTCGTCACAGTTAAAATCCTCCATTCAATCTAATTGAATTTTCTACCGTTTCGGAGAGAAATGTTGTCGCACGTTCATCTGCCAGTTGTCGGTCTTTCATGCGGAGACTCTCCTCGTGTTTGCAATTTGAATGTAATGATGCATTTAAAAGTTAATGGCTAAACGTATCTTTGCAAAAGTTCACAATGCTGCTGCAGATGCAATATAATGTGGACAACATTGAATAAATACATTTTCGTCAGGTTAGATACTGATAATGAATCACTCAAACCCCTTTATCTAAACCTCTCTACATAACCGCCGGACTCGCGCGTCCTTCATGTCTGTAGTTTTTTAACACTTTTCACTCGTGTTTGTAGTTCTAACCGAATCCTCGTCCAGCGCGCGATGGGTTGTGGGCAATATCAGCCGTTAGAGTGCGCATCGATCTACACTTCGGATTCTGACCGGATATAGTAGACCATCCCGGTCTCTTTGGGACACTCATTTCAACATACTACGATTTGGGACGTACTAATTCTATTTTCGAATACTATTTAGGACGGATAGTATGCGAATTGGAACGCAGCAATAGCATAAATGTCCAGGCCTGGTCCTCTCTCGTCCTTCACTGTCGTCGCTCCTGCTTTTATGCTTCCGCTCCTCCGTGAGAGATACGAGACGCAGGTGTTGCTCATTATCAATCACGCCACCGGCCTCGCGCCGCTCTCTCACGGCCCTCGACCCCGCCCTGCTCGCCACATTTATATGTCTTTGTGGTGTTTTTAATATGCTTTAAGACAAACCATGTGTAAATTCATAAGTCGACAGCATTGCTGAGTATTTTCTCCTTAAAACTGCAGTGAACCAAAGACAGTCTCAAAAACACGGTTTGAAATCGCTGGTGTTTCTGACGTCACAAACGACCTTGTAACCAATCAGATCAACGTGTGCTCGTCAACCAGTGGATCTCTGAGCTGATGAGTGAGGGGAGGCGGGGCTCATTTGCATATTCATAGAACCGCGCATACTAAATGAGGCAAGGGTGTCGAGTTACATTCAAGATATTTTAAGGCATGAATACATTTTTTTAAGGAAGAACATTTTAAATATGTAATTTTTGGTGATCAAAGATGAGTTTTAAGGGATACAATTATTGACTACAGGGGACTACATTGTAAAGCCAAAACAATACCGTAAATTGTATGTTTATCTCTGTAAAGCTGCTTTGAAACAATCTCCATTGTTAAAAGCGCTATATAAATGAAGATGACTTGACTTGACTTGACTTTAAGAACCTCCAAAAAATCCTCTATAACATACTCTTGATTGTGTGTTGTTACTTTAAAGAGCTGTAAATGAGTGTCATCGTTTTTATACAACCGATCGCTAAACAAGAAGTTAATATTGAGGACAGTAACAGCAATTGACGGACAATACTTTAGGAAATTGAAGTTGTAAACATAATTCGATTTGCTTAGTGCAAGGAATCCTGAATTTCTTCTGCGAAAAAACTAAATCTATATATGAATTTGGAGAGAATGCTGGTCTGCATTTCGCACAGCAACTTAATGTAGATGTTTACTGTTTAATGAGGTCTTATTGTATATTTCTGTGGCCAGAAGCCGGGTCACATATATCTTTCCTGACACTATCAGCTGTTGCCAGGCCTGATACTGTTGAGAAAAATGTATTTTTAAAGCAGTCTCTTTTATTAAAGAGGACATATTATGCTCCATGTTCATCTTTCTATGCTTTCAGTGCTTCTGAACTCCTGAAACGCCTCCATTGTAGTCTTGAGTCTCCTCCGGGAACGAACACGTCACAATATTCCTCATTATAATAATTCATGCGCAGAATAAAGGGGCGGGGCCTGGTTGAGTGAGTTAGTAGTGTGTTAAGCTGCCGGTTATGGGAAGGGGCGGGACATTTCCCAAACACACTCGAAGCGCTCGACCAATCACAACACACTGCTCCAGCCGGCCAATCAGAGCACAGTGTGCTTTTCAGAAGGAGGGGCTTCATAGAGACAGGAAGTAAACAGAGCGTTACTGACAGACTGGGAAGAGAGGAGCCGCAACACTGAGGAATATGAGGAAAATAATCAACATTCAAGCAGGAAAACCCGTTCTAGTTGCTGATATTTTTCACTCTTCTAACTCGTATGCCTCTCTTTTCTTGACTCAGAGACTTTGTGTTGTCTTGTCACGCGACTGGCGTCCAGCCTTCTCTGAAACTCTCTCATAGTTTGGTTGAGTTTGGCGGGACGGCTCTGGGTGACCGGGCCACTGCAGTTCTGTATGTGGAGAACCGTATCAGCGCCGGGCCGAGGCTCTTCTCCTTCTCTGTTCCTGAAGATTCAGACATCTCCATCGCACCCTCTTCAGGACGTGTTCTGCCTGGACAGGTACGGCTAACCACTGAAACAATTCACAATCACTCACATTTTTCTGCTTTATTATCCTGTTTCATTACTACTTTTTTGCTTTTGTCCACATTCAGTTTCTTCATGCTTTTGATTCAATTAGGGGAGATCGGGGCTAGTTGTCACATTTTATTACATTGAATGTTTCTCATAATAGGTTTATTTTTGATAGTCAAATTATGTATAGACACATACCTTAATGTTTGGGCCACAAAAGGTGTTTTGAATATTTCTAGAAATATCAGTGGGGCATGTTGTCACACTATATAAAACAGAATAAATGATATGTAACACAAAACAATAAAACATTGTAAAATCATTATTGTAAAAAAAAATTTATTAGTGAACTGTAACGCTTACTTCTTGCCAAGAAACACATGTGCTCCTAAGTTGAAGTCCATTAAAATTCAATTAAATCCATTAATGTATCAAATAATGGGTTTTTCCTTAATAAATGAATACAAGGAGACATTTACAAGCAGATTGATTTCATTTATTAGAACACATGAAGTACACTAGGTTTTTAAATATTTCTGCTTCAAACTGTATTTAATAATTATGTAATTATTAATAGGTCGACTTAAAAATGTATTTATGTATGTAAATAAACTGTAATAAACAGATGATTGTGTCAATACTAGTAAAATCTAGTAATATATATATATATAAAATATCTGTTAAATATTGTCCTTAGTCTTTCTTCTCAGTGAAAGGAAAACAGATACAGTTGTATAACCAAATTAATAATAACCAGGAAAAAAAAATGTAATGCATAATATGAGACTTTTATTTATAAACAACCCTGAAATACATTGGGTCTCTTATTGTGAAATGTCTATGCTTTATGCTTTTTTTATTCAAACACATGCTCCTAAATACATTTTTACAGTTCAGACACATCTATTTTTAATTGTGACAACTTTATCTAACCTGAAATGTATGGAAAAATACCCAAGAACACAAGTTAACTTTATATATGGTGAATACAATGGTTTTCTTCTTAATGTGTGCCAGAGTGGTTTTATCATGTTCACTTGAATTGTAGTTTGGCAGATAAAGCATCTTAATTTACTAGATGTTTGAAACAACATGAAAATTAGCATTTGTGTAAATGGATAAGCATATGAAAAAGTCAATTTACACAAATTTGACTCAAATACTGAAATTCTGCCCTGAAGTGTTTGTGTGAAAGCAGTCTCAGGTCTCTCTCTCTCTGTGTGTGTGTGTGTGTGTGTGTGTCTCCACAGAGGTGTCTGATCCAGGTGACGTTCAGTCCAACACTGTCTGATGATGTCATCAAAGCAGAGGCTCTTCGCCGGAGGAACGAGTCCATCGACTGCCAACACACACAGCCTGACACCAAAGTAAGGTTCACACACATCACATCACTTCTCACACTCACAGCACTGCCAGCTTTTGTAACTTCCCTGCTGTCTTTCTTCATTTCACAGAACAAAATGGAAACTCAGTTGCATTTAGTAAAAGGTCAAGGCAGTAAAGTGTCGCCTGCAAACGGCAGTCCCTTCCACTCGCCGAGCCCAGCAGACCTTCAAACCGGGTAAAAACAGTCTGTGTTTATGACGTTTCCATCATTTCAGAGGGACAATTGAAAAATATAAGTAAGCAATAAGGTACGAGAGGCTGTCCTGTATGGTGAATAAGTCACGGCTGAAGGGCGTTGTTAGTCAACCGTGACTTCTTCACGATACAGCACTAGCCTCGAGTACCTTATTGCTTTTATAAAACGGTCACCACACTATACAAATATTAAAGGCAAAAAATAATGTATCAATGCAACTTTCACAAGGTAAAATCACTAAAAGCCTTCCTTCCGCTGGAAAAAATAATCCCTGACCGTGAACAGCAACAGAAGTTACATTATTTCTTCATTAGATGGCGGCGAAGACGGTCTTTATGAGTGAGTCAGTCAGTAGAGAAGACTTTTATATTGAAAGGACTGAAACTTGTGAACACCGAGAAGCAAGACGTGCAAATGACAAATGACTAGCGTGTGTGTCAGGGCACAGGAAACCCCTTAACTGTTAAAAGGACAAGATGTTACTGCGGAAATTCAAACAAATTTTTATTCAGAAAATAGGACTGATCTGTATCTACTGTATGCAGGTAGACTCACTTACTCAATCTATACCAATACTCTACTCTATAAGCTTTAATGAACAATATCAATGAGAACAAACATTTGTTTACGTTGCTAAGAGTAGTTGCTAGGGGTGTTGTGTAGTGAACCGTTGGGTGAAGCGGTCATAGCCGTGTTTAATCGTGAATAAAACACAGCTAGTGACCAATCAGAATTAAGGACTGGAACTAACCGTTTTATAATTATATTTATATCATTTGTTCACAGCTCTTTTGAATATTTGTCTGCGAAGGCCTCACTTCTGCGCTCTTTCACTGAGCGCCGCGTTCGCCATGTCATATCCTGCTTCACTTCTACACCAGACACATCAGAGGAGCCCAGATACAGGTGATGATGAGAGAACGAGACATAAAACTGTTGAAAATGTTTCCTTCAAAACATCATTCAAAGTTATTCAAGTTTAAGGTTCACCAGGGAACTCTGTGTTAACATGAACAACACTTCTACAGCATTGTATCCCTTAAAAGTCATCTTTGATCACCAAAATTACATATTTAAACTTTTTTTCCTTGAAAAATAATGTATTCATGCCTTAAAATATCTTGAATGTAACTCGACACCCTTGCCTCATTTAGTATGCGCGGTTCTATGAATATGCAGATGAGCCCCGCCTCCACTCACTCCCTCAGCTCAGAGATCCACTGGTTGACGATCACACGTTGATCTGATTGGTTACAAGGTCGTTTGTGACGTCAGAAACACCAGCGATTTCAAACCGTGTTTTTGAGACTGTCTTTGGTTTTTAAAGCTGGATTTTCACCACAGGGGGACTTTAATTTCAACATTTACTAATACATTATTAAAATCAAATTCTTAACATTAGTCAATGCATGTGAACTAACATGAACAAACAATGAACTGGATTTTTATTATCTAACATTAACAAAGATGAATAAATACTGTAACAAATGTATTGTTCATTGTTATTTCATGTTAGTTTATACATGAACTAATGTTAACTAATGAACCTTATTGTGAAGTGTCACTATTGTTCAGCCCACATGAGACGCTGTATCTGGAGTTACACTGTCCCGCTGTCAGACCGGCTCTGCTTCTCGTCTCGGACCGACACACACTCCACTTCAGTCAGGTGGCCGTCGGTGAGACACGTTTCACTATCAACTCAACTCTTAAAGGGATAGTTCACCCAAAAACTCTGTCAGTAATTCCTCTCCCTCATGTTGTTCAACCCCGTAAGACTTTCGTTCATCTTCGGGACACAAATTAAGATATTTCTGATTAAATCTGAGAGCTGGATCACTCCTCCATAGGCTTCTAAGGGATTGAAACTTGCCGGCCCAGAAAGTTAGTAAAGACATTGATAAAATAGTCCGAGTGACTACAGTGGCTCAACCTTAAGTTTATCAAGCGACGAGAATACTTTTTGTGCGCAAAAACAAACAAAAATAACGACTTTATTCAACTCTTCATTTCCTTCTCTGTGGGCCTCGAGTGAGTTCACGTAGTGTAACAGCGCAGCGCTTCTGTGTCGTACGTCACACGTAGGCTCACTATTGGCCGACGCTGGTCATGTGTGTGATGTGTGTGATGCTGGCCAATAGTGAGCCTACGTTCTGACGTAGCGCTGCGCTGTTACACTACGTGAACTCACTCTGAAGCCCACAGAGAAGAAGATGAATGAAAGTCTTACGTGGTTGGAACAACATGAGGGAGAGTAATTCTGACAGAGTTTACTTTTTTGGGTGAACTATCCCTTTAAGGTGATGATACACAGGGCAACTTTTTGCTTGGGCACTTTGCCATTGAAAATGGACAATTTCTATCTGGATAATTTAGATCAGCCATGGAACATGTGTCTCGCCTGGTTGCCCGTTGATGGCAACATTGCTCATAAAGTTGCCCGTGTATCATCACCTTTACTGCTGGCATTTGACCTGTTCACTTGTAATGGTTTCAACCCTGCAGGTCAGAAGGTGTTGAAAAAGGTGATAATCCAGAACATTTCCTCAGAGTTTGTGAAGGTATCTTTTTCAATCATTTCTTAATAATTTTATTATATAATGTGTGTTGTGTAACTTACACTACTGGTTTGGAATATATATATGTTTTATTTATTTTTTGTTATTTTGAAAGAAGTCTGTTCTGCTCACAGAGGATGCATTTATGTGATCAGAAATACTGTAAAAAATAGTGAAATATTATTAGAATTTAAAACAGCTGTTTTCTATGTGAATATATAGTAAAGTGTAATTTATTCCTGTGATCAAAGCTGAATGTTCAGCATCATTACTCCAGTCTTCAGTGTCACATGATCCTTCAGAAATCACTCTAATATGAGGATCTGATGCTCAAGAAACATTTCCATCAGTAACACACTAACCTACAAAAATTATTTTAAAAATGATAATTCAAACCAAGCTCAAATAACAGAGTTAATTAAAGCACTCATGTTAACTAAAATACAAGCATCACATTTCTGCTGTTAACGCATAGAATTCCAATGTAAGTATATTATAAAAAACTTAAATATAAACTCATTAAATATTTCTTTAATGTTGTTAATGGTAATATGAAGTTCTTGTGGTAGTCCAGTTATATGTTGTGTATGACATCAGCCTTATCCTGCTGACTTTCAGCTGACATCATCACTGCTGGATGTGAACGGGCCGTTTTCTGTGCTGAACGCCATGCGATCCATCGGTCCTGAGGACACACACACACTCCTGATCGCATTTACTCCCTCTGTGGCCAAGAAGGTGAGCGCCGCTGCCATACACACATCATAGCAAACAGTGTTTCATATTATTGTCAGTATCTGAACGTGCGACACCAGCTGATTGTAAAATAGATATAACTAAATGTAGATGCTCGATAGATGCTTTAATATTAAACAGTGTATTTATAGCTACAGAGAAATAGATTTAAATAGAGTGATTAAAGTGCTGCTATTTTTCTCCTACAACAGGTTTAAATGCATCCAAGGTCAAAAAACACTTTAATTTTCTCATAATCTCCACTGCAGCATCAGCTCTTTCCTCTCAGTGTCTGAAACGCTTCGATCAAGGATTCAGTCTCTCTAAGCCCCGCCTCTCTGAGAGCTGCTCTGCTCTGATTGGCCAGAAACCAAACGCTCATTATCATATCTGAATCTCAGCTCTTGATCACAGTGATACGAACAGTAACGATGGCGTGGGTTTCACCGTATCAATCTCATCAAAGTGGATTTGCTTTGTCAGCAGAAAACAGCGTCTTCTCGACACGAACAACACGAACCAAACTCTCCCAGTCTCAGATACACTAGTGTTTGAGGGCGGAGCTAAGAGACGCTGATCAGCCAATCAAGACCATAGGCGGGCATTATGCAAATTAGTTACAAACCTACACAGGTTCAGCAGGAACTGAGACTGGTGTTGCTGACGACTCGTTTCAGGCAGTTCAGACTTTATCGTTCAGTTTTGGAGAAAATAACTTGTAGTGCACTTTGATCTTGAAAACTCTGCAGACCTTTTACATTCATAAATAGATTTATTACACACAACATTACAGGTCGTATTCAAAAAAGCATAATAGAGCTCTTTAAAAGGCCAAACAAAGTAGTTTGGCTTTCGCAACGAAAAACACAGCGTCTCCACGACGTACAACAATAATAATAATACAGCGAGAATAAAAGTTACGCCTTCTTTCTTTGCGTGTACATTTGGCCGGTGTTATGAAACTCTGCACACACACACTGACGTAGAGATGTGGAGGAGTGTGTGAACTAAGCGTTTTAGAGCGGTGTGGTTGAGATTTAACTTTTATAAAGAATATCTCCTTAGCTTTGACACTTTGTAACTCTCAGATATTATACTTGCACTAACAGCTACATAACACACTAAAGAAATTAATTTACGCTTTTATATACATATAAACAACATTCACTCAAACATCTGTGCTTATCATACCTTAGATGTAAATGATGACCAAATTTTCATTTTTGGGTGAACTATCCCTTTCCCAAAAAAATCATAGTAACGCAAAACCATCTCTTGTTACTCATTATTCTCATTACTGTAATGCGTACTGTCTTTATTGTTGGTGAAATATGAGCCAGGCATTTTCTCGACAGGTTTGGTCAGATTCACTGCATTTATAGTCCAGTCATTTTAAAAATGGGGGTCAACCTTGAACAAATTGCAACAGAAGCAAACTCAACTGATTTTGTATCCTCAACATGTCCTGAGTAAGGGGAAAAAAACAGAAGAATCCCATTAGGGGAAAGTTTTGAAAAAGACCCAAATATTGTCTATTCATACGCCTATTCATTCTTTTTCTCACGTGAATAGGGTAAAAATTTTAGTCTTTAGATATCACCATGAAAATTACTGTGTTGATTACCTCAAGACAAACAAAAAATGTATTACAAGTTTTTTTTAATTGTTTGTTAACATGGGCAAACAGTGCATAATCTAATTACATATGTAACATTGGGTATAGCAGGTGAACATGTCTTGTTGAATCTTGTTGACATATAACAGTAAAATACTTAATGTTAAGGTCTGAATGGAACCCATTTAAGCTACCCATGAGCATTAATACAGGAAGAAGTACTTTAGAAACCAGCCTTTATTAATTATTATTAAAATTTAAATTAAAAAAAATTATTTCAAATTTTTACCCTAATTCACGTGAGAAAAATAATTAATAGGCGTATGAATAGGCTATATTTGGGTCTTTTTCGAAACTTTCCCCGAATGAGATTCTTTTTTTTTCCTTACTCAGGACATATTGAGGATACAAAATCAGTTGAGTTTGCTTCTGTTGCAATTTGTTCAACCTTTTTTCATAAAATGACTGGACTATTACCCAGTTCTGCCACTGAATCTGCTGGTATTCATCATGTGAAATATGTGTTGTGTTGTCAGTATTATGAGACTCTGGAGGTGAGCTGCAGTCAGATGACCCTGGAGATCTCTCTGTGTGCTGAAGCTGTCGACCCCGTCCTCTCCTGCTCACACGAAGGACACATCAACTTTGACTACGTTCCTGAGAACGAGAGCGCCTCGCAAGTGTTCAGGGTATCAACTCTACATTGCTCTCTGAAATTTGAATTCATAACATTAGCAGATGTTCTTCTCCAGTGTTTCTGCCTTGTTTTCCAGTACAAATTGTTAAATCAAGAGACATTTACTTGAGAAGCAAAATGACTTAAAGCTGAAAATCCAGCTTTTAATGTTGTTTATGTGTCTATGTGGTGTTTTTAATATGCTTTATGACAAACCATGTGTAAATTCATAAGTCGACAGCATTGCTGAGTATTTTCTGCTTAAAACTGCAGTGAACCAAAGACAGTCTCAAAAACACGGTTTGAAATCGCTGGTGTTTCTGACGTCACAAACGACCTTGTAACCAATCAGATCAACGTGTGAATTATCAAAAATGATCAATTTAGTAACAAGAAAACATATCTGCCAATGGAGTAAGAAAAATAAACTTAATCCAAAGGGAAAACGAAATAATTTTTCTGACCCCAGTGACTGATTCTTTTTCTTGTTTTAAGCAAAAACTCGCTTAATTTTCAGTATCTTAAATCATTCTGCTTCTTCAGTAAATGTATCTTGATTTAAGACATTTTAGATGCTTGGAATGAAAAATAAGACAAAAATACTAATTTTTTTCAGGGTGCATTGTACACTCCTGTTAACTGAAGAAACATGTACAGTTATCAAATTATACTTCAAGTTATAATAAGTTTAAGTGTACAAAAGCTTGTCACTGTTTCCTTAAACGGACATCTTTGTACCTTATTTACCCCTAAAAGTCTGATAGTAGATCCTCAAAGGTATATATTACTACATAAGGTACTAATATGCACCTTTTGGGGGGTAGATCTGGCTCACAATTGGCCCTTTAAAGGTATATTTTTTCTTTATTTTCTGACTACTGGATGAATAATGTCATGTTCATGCTGCAGTTCAACACTAGAGGTCACTGTCAGCATAGGATCCGTTCTGGAGACTGTGTTTCTGTGCAGTTCTCTTACGAGAGTATCTCTCGTACTGCGTAATAGCTTACGCTCGGGGAAAAACTCTTTTCCGCGAGATATTGAAGCCAAAAATTATCCTTAATTTTTTTTTAATGTAAAACGCTTTGCAGCAGCAAGCAGACATAGGCGAAACAGCTCGCGCGCCTATTGGTTGCTCTGCAGCAAATGCAGCAGCCTATCGAGAGAGACTCTGCGTGACGTAATGACCAATGGGGGCAATTCGCGCCCATATCGTCACGTCCCGCCAGAAGGGGCGTGGTCTCACCCTATAAATATGCTCGTTAGGCTGATACAAGCTGATTTTTACAGCACACGCATCGCTGGATCCGGAGTGAGAAGCCGCGCCGTCGAAGCAAGCCTTTCAGCGGGACGAGCTCTGAAGTCGCTGGCCTCGCCGCCTTCAACTGCCGAACCTGCTGCGCTTTCCGGCGTTCTATATCCTTTCATACTCTGTGTGTATTTACTCTGTTGAGAGTGTTTGCTCGCTTACTTGACGCGACTCACACTTCTCTCACAAAAAGAGCTGCGTCTTTTTAAAGATGCCTTCCTGTGGCTCGTGCCGCGCCCCGCTCAGCGATGGAGACCGGCACGTCATCTGTGTTTCCTGCCTGGGTGAGGATCACGCGGCTCTCGCGCTCGCTGACGGCGGATGCCCTCATTGCGAGCTTTTGCCCATGGTGACTCTGAGGACTCGCCTGGCATCATTCTCCGAGCCTTCACCGCAGCCCGCCGTGGTGCCGCGCCGCAAGAAGCGCCGCGCCCAGCGCGCTCCCGAGCTTTCTCCAGCCCGCCAAAGCTCGCCGGTTCGCCCGCCAGCTTCGCCGGCTTCGCTCGAGTCGCTCACTGACGGACAACGGCCGCCGCCTGCCGCCGCGTCCATCCACGAGTTTGACGAACCCACCGAGGCGTGTTCTCTTCTGGCATCCGATAGTGAGGATTGGGCGAGCTCCGTAGATCTCCCCTCCGCTAGCGTTTCCCGCCAGCCCACTGGTAAGAGAGCCGGCATTGAGACTGAGCTGATGCGTCTGCTCTCTCAGGCCGTGGAAAGCATCGGCCTCGATTGGGAGGCGCCCGCGCAACCGCCGCGCAACAGGCGAGCTCTGTGGACCTCCGCCTTCTGTCCGCGAGTCGTCAAGGAAACGGGCCAGCATCAAGACCGCGAGCCCTAAAACCGCGGCTAGCTTTCTTTACGTTATAAGAAATCTACCCCGCCCCCCAATGGGCGTGCGTCACCGGCAAATGAGAAAAGAGTGTTTTTTAGTCCCCGCCGAGGCCGGACTAATCTCCATTTCTTAAACATTTCTCAGCTCCTAGTTTGAGCGGCTGAAAATGTCATTATTGCAGCAATGAGCCTGTTGTATGACACGCACACCTGCATACAAACGCCGACACACACAAAACTGTGATGACACTCTCTTATCTGCTTGCGCCAGTGTAGTTCTCCCTGTGGCCCAGTGGCGGAACCCTAAGCTTTCACGCGGGAGACCCGTGTTCGATCCCGGCTCTCGCAGCAGATAAAAATTTAGTCTCGCCGCGGCCAGACTTCCACCAAAAACTTTTCGCTCGTTCAGTTCCAGAAAATGCGACTGTTCCAGTGTATTTTGCAGTAAACAAGCTGGTACCACGGCCCGCTTGCCTGCACATAAAGGCCGTTTCCACGGCAACCTAGAAAAATCATGTGATCATTGTATTTCTGGTTTTCCGGCCACAGCCGATGGTGTTATAAGTGTAATAAAATGCTCACAGCCCAGTGTTCATTTATACACACAAACACAGCCCGCCACGGTACAGGGCTCACACAAATAAAATCGACGCATGTCAATTGTGCATTAAATGTAGTGAATGTGCCCACAACCCAGTGCCCACAAACACTACCACGGTTTCTGTAAAACGAAACCAACACAAGTCTTCCTAGCCTCCTAGGAAATCGACGGTGTTTCAGTCTCGCCGTGGCCAGACTTCCACTGAAATTTTCGCTCGTTCAGTTCCAGAAAATGTGACTGTTCCAGTGTATTTTGCAGTAAGCAAGCCAGTACCATGCCCGCTTGCCTGCACACAAATGCTGTTCCCACGGCGACCCAGATAAATTTTCTGGTATTCCGGCCACAGCCGATGGTGTTATGAGTGTATTGAAAATGCCCACAACCCAGGGCTCATTTCTACACACAAACACAGCCCGCAAAAATGCAGGGCTCGCACAAACAAAATCGCCTCATGTCGATCGTGCACTAAATGTAGTGAATGTGCCTACGTCTCAGTGCCCACAAACACTACACACCACATGTCCCACGGGTTCTGTGAAAACGAAACCAACACGCATTCAGTCAGCTCAGGCCGACGGTGTTATTCAGTGCAGTAAATGTGCCCGCTGTCCTGCGCCCACATTCACTCACAGACATGTTAAGCCCCACGGGGCTCGCCCCGCTCTCTCTCCCTCAGCAAACTGCTATAAGGGTTTTGAGCGCGGCCAGGCTGCCCGCCGCGATCGGCGCGCCCCCCGCCTCACACACTGTAAACACAGTGTCTGCGTTACAGCACGCCGGAGCTCTCTTGCCGTCACTATGTCTCGGCCAGAGCCCAGATCTCATTCTACCCCTAGCTATTCACGCGAAAGTGTGGGCACAGTTTCTTGGGGTATCGGAATGGGTGCTGAACACTATAAAAAGAGGCTATTCGCTACAGTTCGCTCGACGTCCCCGCCGTTATACGGCGCGCGTCGAGACGAAGGTGGAAAACGAAGTATCTCATCTACTTCGAGCCGAGATAGCGAAACTACTGAGCAAAGGTGCTATAGAACCTTTATCTCAAGCTCAGAGCAAAGGGGGCCTACACAGCAGATATTTTCTGGTACCGAAAAAAGATGGAGGTCTCAGACCCTTTTTAGATCTGCGACAGCTGAACAGAGCGCTTGTGAAGCGCCAGTTCAGAATGCTTACGACCAGGAAAATCCTCGCGCAAGTGCGCCACGGGGACTGGTTTATGTCAATAGATCTGAAAGACGCCTATTTCCAAATACAAATAGCGTCCCATCACAGGCGATTCTTGAGATTCGCTTTCGAGGGCCAGGCATATCGATACACAGTCCTGCCGTTCGGCCTGTCCCTAGCACCTCGTACAGTCACGAAGTGCATGGACGCGGCGCTCGCACCCCTGAGACTTCAGGGCATGCGAGTCCTGAACTACTTGGACGATTGGCTGATTCTAGCTCGATCACGATCGGAGCTCATAGAACACAGGGCCGCATTACTCGAGCACCTCAAAGAGCTGGGCCTCACAGTCAATTGGGCGAAGAGCTCACTGTCTCCCAGTCAGAAAATGTCCTTTCTGGGAACCGTGTTGGACTCGCTGTCCATGACGGCACGCCTGTCACCAGAGCGCGGGCTAAATATTCAGCGCGGCGCGAAATCCTTCCGCCACGGCTCGATAGTTCCGCTCAAAAGGTTTCAGAAAATGCTGGGGCTGATGGCCTCAGCAGCCTCTTTACTCCAGTTGGGCTTGCTCCGCATGCGCCCACTGCAGATGTGGCTGAAAGCGCGGATTCCACCCAGGGCATGGACAGCGGGTCTGTTTCGCCTCAGGGTCGACCTTCAGTGTGTTTCAGCTCTGGAACCCTGGAAAATAACCGACTGGTATCAGTCAGGTGTGAGTCTGGGGACCGCTTCGAGTGTGGAGGTGGTGTCTACGGACGCCTCCACCTCGGGGTGGGGAGCGCTGCTCGAGGGCAGACCGCTAGCTGGCCTGTGGTCAGAACGGGAAAAGCTCCTTCACATAAACTGCTTGGAGATGATAGCAGTCGACAAAGCGCTACGGCGTTTTTGTCCCCAGGTAACAGGCCACCACGTCTTGGTCCGGTCGGACAACATGTCAGTGGTGGCATACATAAATCGCCAGGGCGGCGTCAGGTCACGAAACCTTCACAGGCTGACGGAACGCCTCCTGGTCTGGGCTCAGCACAACCTGCTCTCACTGAGAGCAGCGCACGTGCCTGGTCACCTGAATGTGGGACCAGACAGACTGTCCAGGAACAATGTTCCAGCAGGGGAATGGTCGCTGCACCCGCAGACGGTCCAGCTGCTGTGGAAAACGTTCGGCAGAGCACAGGTGGACCTATTCGCGTCCCACGAAAACGCTCATTGCCCGGAGTTTTTCTCGAAAAGCAAGGACGCGCTGGCTCATGTTTGGCCCCGCTGCCCCCTATATGCTTTTCCTCCTGTCTCGCTCCTGCCTCAGGTGTTGGAACGAATCAGGGAGAACAGATGCCCAGTGCTGCTCGTAGCTCCGCTCTGGACAAACCAGACGTGGTTCCCTGCCCTGATGCAGCTGACCAGCACTGCCCCATGGCCTGTACCATTGAGGAGAGACCTCCTCTCTCAGGCGGAGGGCTCGATTTGGCACCCTCGCCCGGAATTGTGGTCCCTGCACGCATGGGCCATCAACGGGTACCCGCTAGCCTCCCAGAAGGAGTGTTAAACATGATCGCGCAGGCTAGAGCTCCGTCTACCAGGCGGCTCTACTCCTCGAAATGGTCTGTTTTCTCTGCATGGTGTCAAGCCCAGAGCTTTTCACCTGTGGAATTCGGGGTTTCGGAAGTGTTTTCCTTCCTTCAAGAGCTACTGGATAAGGGCAGGACCCCATCCACGCTCAAAGTATATGTGGCGGCCATAGCAACGTTTGCAAAACCGGTGTCTGGCCAGTCGCTGGGGAAAAACGACTTAGTCGTGCGTTTCCTTAGGGGAGCTCGGAGGCTGAACCCTCCCAGGCCCCCTTCAGTCCCGACGTGGGACCTTTCCACGGTCCTGGAGGCCATGAAAGGCGCCCCGTTCGAGCCAATCCAGCTGGTGGACATGAAACACCTGTCGTTCAAAACAGTGTTTCTCATGGCTCTCGCTTCAGTGAAGCGCATAGGGGACTTACAGGCGCTTTCACTAAGCGCGTCGTGTATGGAGTTTGGGCCTAATGACTCGAAGGTCATTCTCAAACCAAAGCACGGGTATGTCCCGAAATCCCTCAATACACCGTTCAGGGCCCAGGTAATTTCCCTGTCCGCCCTTCCGGTTCTCAGTGAGGAGGAGGATGCGAGTCTCCTTTGCCCCGTCAGGGCATTGAGAGCTTATGTGTCACGCTCGTCTGTTTTCAGACAGACGGAGCAGCTTTTTGTTTTGTTTGGCGGGCGTTCCAAGGGACTCGCCGCCTCAAAACAGAGCCTATCCAGATGGATAGTGGATGCCATTGCGCTCGCTTACTCTGCGAAGGGCCTACAGTGCCCCTTGGGTGTCAGGGCGCACTCCACGAGAGGCGTGGCCTCTTCGTGGGCGTGGTCGAGCGGGGTTTCCCTGCAAGATATCTGTACGGCCGCGGGCTGGGCCTCGCCGTCTACATTTATAAAATACTATAACCTGGAGGTACCCGCCTTACAAGCTAAGCTTTTGGCGGTCTAAAATTCAGTGCTATCTGCCCCGCTGTGCGGCCCAGATGCTGAGTTTACTGCAGCCCCATGAGTGTTGACACACGTATGGCCACCCAGATCAGGCTGAAAGTTTTCACCCTGGCTGCGCGTTTTATTGTCATATAATAGCCCCGCTGGGTGCTTTTTTATAGGGAATGACGCTTCCAGCCTCTCTTCCTCCACTCTATGTGAGTTTATGGTGATTATGCACTACATGAGCCCTGGGCTTCGGCCCCCGGGACTTTGGTGTTGGATCCCTGTACGCACGGCGTGTTGCATTGTGTTCCCCTAGCGTAAGCTATTACGCAGTACGAGAGATACTCTCGTAAGAGAACGTACTCGGTTACTAACGTAACCTCGGTTCTCTCTAGAGAGGGAACGAGTACTGCGTATCTTGCCGTGCTTGGAATACGCTCTGGTTCGCTTCAGTGATAAAAACCAGCTTGTATCAGCCTAACGAGCATATTTATAGGGTGAGACCACGCCCCTTCTGGCGGGACGTGACGATATGGGCGCGAATTGCCCCCATTGGTCATTACGTCACGCAGAGTCTCTCTCGATAGGCTGCTGCATTTGCTGCAGAGCAACCAATAGGCGCGCGAGCTGTTTCGCCTATGTCTGCTTGCTGCTGCAAAGCGTTTTACATTAATAAAAAATTAAGGATAATTTTTGGCTTCAATATCTCGCGGAAAAGAGTTTTTCCCCGAGCGTAAGCTATTACGCAGTACTCGTTCCCTCTCTAGAGAGAACCGAGGTTACGTTAGTAACCGAGTACGTTTTACATGCTGTTTCTTGTTATTCTACCTGAGATCAGGTGTGTAAAATCTCCAGTCACCACTGTAACCTGGAGCAAAACTACTGTACTGTACTGTACTGTACTATACTGTAAGTCACAATCATCTGCTAAATTTAATGAGCGAGTAAGATTACCGCTCTGTTATTGGACTTATTGCTATACACTACCGTTCAAAAGAAATGAATAGCTGAATTTTCAGCATCATTCTCCAGTCTTCAGTGTCACATGATCATAAATCATTGTAATGTAATATGACTGAGCTGGTGTGTGTGTTCAGCTGCAGAACGCCTCGTCGCTGGACGTGCGCTTCAGTGTGAGGTTAGAGAGCGAGAGGATTCTGTCGCTCATGGACTCCACTGCACATCTGGGTGAGTTACACACACTATACACACACGTGCCGGGAGATTCTGCCCATAAAACACACGGCTTTTAGAGGAAGGTTCACCTAAAAACATACGTTTTGTCATTATTTAATCAACCTGTTCAAATGTCTGTCTTCTCTGCAACACAAAAGGAAATGTTTGGCAGAATTTTAAAACTTCAAGCAAAACATTTGCGAAGTCAAGCTCCCAAAAAGCAAAATATCCCAAACAAATCTCCCATCCCAGCTAACGGAACGTTCTCTCAAAGTTATGAACAAACCCAGTAACATTAATAGAATGTTCATTCATAAGTTATCTGCTCTTTATTAATGTTCTCAAAATGCACATAATGTTTGCAGGGTTCCCTTAACATTCACATATATCCGAGAAAAAACATTTTTAAAACATTTAAAAAACTATAATGTTTTCATAACTTAATGGCAACGTTAGCAAAATATTTTTGTTAGCTGGGATAACAGTTGCCCGTATGACTCATGCCTTGTATTTTATATATATAACAGCTTTATTTTTATTAACTAACGTTCACAAAGATTAACAAATGTATTGCTCATGGTTAGTTCATGTTAGTTAATATATTAACTAATGTTAACTAATGAACATTATTGTAAAGTGTTACCAGAACTCTTAACAGCACATGCTCATTTACTGCAGATATACTGTACCCGTCAACAGTTTGGAAACATTGCAAATATTTAGTGAAAGATACAGTGGAAACAGTGCAATATTACAATGTAAAATAAGATCATGTGACACTGAAGACTGGAGTAATGATGCTGGAAATACAGCTTTGATCACAGGAATAAATTACATTTTACTATATATTCACATAGAAAACATGTTTTACATTGTAATAATATTTCACAATATTACAGTTTTTCCTGTATTTCTGGTCAGATAAATGCAGCCTTGGTGAGCAGAAGAGACTTCTTTTAAAAACATTTAAAGATTTTAATGTTTTCAAACTTTTGACCGGTGTTGTACAGTGATGTCTGGCCGTGGAGAATTGACATCTTCACCCTTTATTTAAATATTAAACAAGGTTTTGTAAGCATATTTCATAGCTGAACTTGGAGTCAATTGTTTTATTTTTGAAAATGCAAAGAAACATGCCAATTTGTGCAAACAAGCTGAAATTATGAACACTTTTTTTTTTTTTTTTTCATAGTAAAATAAAACCTGTAATAAAAAAAGTATTGTAGTTTGCCTTTTTTTGACAAATAATTGTGTCAATTGTATTGTTCTTTCATCACATTTAAAATATTAAAAAAATATTAAACATTTTCCTCATATTTTGATGATTTAATGGAACTTGCAGGCTCATAAAAAAGCCCACATCTACAGTATGAAGTCATCAGTTAGTATCCTCATGTGTCCATCCTTCCTCTCAGGTCCTCAGAACCACAGCGGGTTGAGTGTGTTCAGCGTGTCTCCATCAGGTGGCGCTGTTCCTCCTGCTGCTGCTGCTGACATCACTGTGACCTTTCACCCCGATCACCAGAGTCTCCACTACAGAGACCGTCTCAGAGTCCAGCTCATCAACAAAGTTAGACATCATCTGCACACCAATACAAACTACAGTCAGGATAGGACACTTTTTTGCCCCATGTGAATGCAAAAAGTTTATTATATAGTATTATTTATAGTATATTATATATATGTGTGTGTGTGTGTGTATATATATATATATATTCTATTGCCACTTGGATTTATTTTTCTTACTGTATTGGCAATTTTTAATGGCTTAAAGCAAAACACATTTTGTTAGATTAATGCAAGAATTTTTTATAATATGCACATTAAAATATGCAGTAACACTTTACAATAAGGTCTCATTTGCTAACATTAGTTAATGCATTACCTAACGTGAACTAACAATATATTCTACCAGCGTTTTTTATCTTTGTTAATGTTAGTTAAAGATCTAATTCATTGTTTGTTCATATATTTCACAGTACATAACAGTTGTTGACACTTTTTTTGGATTTAAAAAATTTATTAGTAAATGTACCATTGACCAAGATTAATAAATGCTTATTGTTAGTTCTTGTTAACTAATGTAGTTAGCGGATATTAATAAATGTTAACCTTATTGCAGAGTGTTAGCAAATATGCACATTTGAGTGGTGGATGTTAATTTCCCTCCCTGTTGACAATATAATTACGGAATATGATTTTTAACCCTTGGATGTTTTGTCATTTTAGACCAATTTTTTGTTTTTTTTTCATCGGAATGGTACGAAACTCAGTTACTTTTGTGGCAGTCGCTATGTGACTACAAAACAAATCGTGGACTTGATTAGAAAAAGCTAAATAGTAGTAAAAAAGTCACACTTTGTTGCTCGCGGTCAGAAATAAATACAAAAAATATGAAAAAAGTCATCAATTGTTGGGGGGTGCAATCTGCAAATCAGCCACGATGCAGAAAAAAGCACACATCAGTGAAGGACGACAGTCTAAAATATACACACTCCACCCAATACACCAAAACTGATCAGATCAGACACAGATTGATTAAGCTCTGGTACAGAATTCCTCTTTTTTTATTGAATTTTGATGTATGTAACAAAATGTCTTTCTCTCTGTTTGACTGTAGTAAAATTAATGGAAAAACTTGACACTTCAAATCAACATTTCAAACAAAAAATATCTAAACCTTGACAAAAAGTAGTCTTTAAAAATGTCTACATGTACATCCAAATCCACAAGCCGCTTCTAGTGCACTCCTCATCTGTACGGCGCTTTGGATAAAAGCGTCTGCTAAATAATTAAATGTGAATGTAAAAGTAAGCCCACATTTAGTAAGCCCAATTTGCAAGCCTCTTTATATAGAGCTATATAGGAATCTAGTGGTTACACCACAACATTACAGAATTTTTACAATTTTTACAAAGAATTTACAATCTTACAATCTGCCTTCAAAAATTGGATTTTAAAGGCATTGTCTCTATTTTAACCTGAAATAGAGCTTTAATTGAAAATTAATGATAAAACATGCATTGTGTTATTTTCAAGGGGGAAAATTATTGTAAGTATTGCATTAATATTTAACATAATATAGTAACATACAATTATCTCAAAATACAAACTAAAAAAATGATTAACAAAAATATATTACATTGATTTTACTGAAAATAAAAATGTCAGGTGTTCGGTCACTCTTGACCGCGAACAACACTAGTATATCTCCCAAATGAACAACACCAGAGGGTTAAAGCCTGTGCAGTTCATACACAGCAGTTCTAATGTCTTGACAAAAATAATTGTGTGTGTGTGTGAATGTGCTGATAGCAAACGGTGTGTGTGCTGGAGCTCAGCGGCTCTTCATGTACAGACATGTTTGTCTGTGGAGGGGATCCAGTGGACGCCTGTCCTGAATCACTCATCCCATCGCATATATACACATCAGGACATCAAGGTACCGCTTTCTGTTGTTGTGTTTAATGTAGTCATGCTAAGCCTGGCCTGTATTTCCTTCTGCAACCCTTCTAACATGTTTAACTTGTGTATGTAGTCAGACCTTTTGAGTCTGGTCCACATTATACATGCCTGTCAGAAATCAATTTGTATCAAAATTAAGTATTAAATATCTTAATTGGTATAAGAGAAGTCTTAATTATTAATCAGTAGAAGTCTCAGGTTTCCCAAACACTCTCCTCTTCTCTCATTGGTTAGACATTCAGATGCTCCTTGGTCAAACTCACACCATTGGTTGAAACACAAAGCACTTTATTTGAGCTGTTATCCCTGATTTCCGTATCTTTGTCATTTTTTCACACGTTGTGTAGACAGCAAGAGTTTGCTGCTGACTTTTAGGAGTGAATATCAAGAGGGCAGAGCCATCGCAGCCACGCGCAAACTCCACGTGGGATGTGTCCTCGGCTCAAAGCCGGCCACTAAAAAAGTAAGTGAACAGTTCACCTGAAGACATAATGACATGTTTGAAGTGTTTCCAGCTGATGAATCCTGTCTCCTGCCGTCAGACGGTGGAGTTCCTCTGGGAGAACCTCTCCGCGGTCGAGCAGCAGGGCTTCAGAGTGACACCGGTGCAGGGCAGTGTGGATGCAGGACACCGGCGTCCCATCACCCTCAGCTGGGTGCCGTCTACTGGCCTCGCTGTGAGTGCTGACGTCAAAAACACTGAGATAATAGTGTGATCTGTGCTGTCGTGCCCATTATAGATGTAGAGTGGCACTACAGAAACAACGGCAAGATTATGGGTTTGATTCTCAGGGAATGCGTGAACTGATGAACTGTAGGCCTCATGTAAGGAAGCTTGTTTCCGCCACAGAATAAAACGTTTTGAAAGATAATTGCGACTTATAATCTCGCAATTCTGAGAAATAACGTCAGAGTTGTGAGATGTAAACTCACAATTGTGACATAAAAAGTCGCAATTATCTTTCAAAATGTTTTATTCTGTGGCGAAAACCAGTCACAATAAAGTCGCAATTGCGAGTTATAGAGTTAGAAGTGCGTGATATAAAGTTAAATAAATCACACAATTCTGACTTTTTTCACGCAATTGCATCTTTATATCATGCAATTCTGAGATAAAAAGAAAGAAAAAAAGTCAGAATTGCGAGAGATAAAAAGTCGCAATTACCTTCTTTTTTTTTTTTTTTGGAAACAAGCTTCCATACTTATGTGCAATGTACAGTAAGTCACTTTGGATAAAAGCATCTGCCAAATGCATACATGTAAATGCACTGAAAGCCTCTGACTAACCCTGGAACTACTGGCTTCTTACTCTAAAGTTACCCAAGTTTTTGGAACCGTAAGTTGAGGTTATATATTTACTCTTAAGTAAACTTACTCGGATAAGTCGCTTAACCTGCTTTCTAGAACACACACCAGTTCATCAATGTACTTTTTACATGAACAAGGTCCAGATATACTTACAGCGAAGTTCTTTCTTCGGGGGAAAAAGAAGTTGGAAACCCCTTTGCAGTGATTTACTGTCAGTGAAAATCCTGAGCCGTCCAGTTTAGATAAATATGTGTGTATGTGCTGCGCTTTCCTCTCAATAACACAATAAACACACAGCTAACATGTCAGCGGTGAGAAAACAGCAGTTCAGAAAGCATCTGATCATAGTGATGTGGATGTTTGCAATTCAGCACTCCGGTCACGTCACGTTAATTATACAGCGCTTTATACAGTAGATTGCTTTAAAGCAGCAGCTTTACAGTATTAAACATGTAAAAACAGTGTTTCCATTACAGATTTGCGCAAAACTTATGCGATTTTTCCTAAATGTCAACAAAAAAACTATTGCGAAAGGATGGCGTTTCCATTAACCGATGTTATGCGACTAAAACGTCATTTTTTCCTCTCGCGATAAACCTACCAACGTCCGTTGCCATGATTTTTGGAATGACCTGTGTATATCTCAGCCACTGCACTGGCCATTATTAATAATGAAAGGAGACGTACGTGTGTTATCCAGTCATTAATGACAAGGAAAGCCCCTTATTCTTGAGAGCAACACATATGAGTGTTTCTGGGTGTTTCTCCCTCATTTCTGCTTCCAGGTCTTGATTGTGGCATTTCTTTGATGGTTAGAATCCAGTATTCCTGTAATTCTTTTGTCTTTTATTAATTTAATAAAGAACTCTGTCTCGTATTCTGTCCAAACATCTACGTCAGGTGACCTGTAAATGCGCAAAAACTGTTTCCATTGCAGTTTTGCGAAATATTTCTTTTTCGAATTGCCTGAAAAAACCCCTCATGCGTTTTTGCAATAAATAGGAGTTTTTGCGAAATTGACGTGTTTCCATTGGGCGTATTTTCAATTCGCAATTTCAATTTGCGCAATTTGAAGGGTAATGGAAACGCGGCGTGTCTCTTTCAAATATAATTACAGCTTCAGTTTCTACTATAAAGCGTCTCTCAGTGTGTTCATGTTTTCACTCGTGTCTGTCCTCGACGGACTGAACAGAAGAAATTAATCTTAGAAGATTTACACCTCAAAGAAGGCGGAGCCTCAGAGCCACACCCACCTATTACATCATCACCACACTGACCAATGGGTGTCCGATGGTGTTATTTTCCAGAAAGCATGCTGTTTCGAAACTCCAGAAATGGACTCAAAACAATGTTCATTTAGCCTGATTTTGTTCAAAATAACGCAGGGTTGCCAACTCTCACGCTCTCACTCGCACGCAAGAAATGTCACGCCAGAATCCATTTTTCTCCCCTCTCAATCGAATCTGTTAGTATTCTGTTGATGACTAGACTACCACAGCGTATTAATGACAGCAGGGGCGGAGTGGCAATCGGGAGAGTCGGGACTTTTCCCGGTGGGCCGGTAGTGTTTCGAGGCCGCGAGGGCCGGTCTGATAATACCGGTAGTTATAGCCTACATTGCAAGTTCTTAGCAACACCAGAACACTGTATCCATCCAACCGATCGCCGCGGCAACTAGCGCTCAGCTTGATTTAAAAAATAAAAAACAGATATAAGCGCTAGATCTCTTATAGCAACCTAAATGAATGCTCTGCTAGTTAACTGGAGATGTTTTATTTATTTGTATTAGGTACATCCGTGCCTCAATGTTTCAAAAAGTGGTGGGGGACAATATCGATCCTGAGAAAAAGTGGTGGGGGCATGTCCCATCCGTCCCACCCGCAAATTACACCTAAGACTGGATCTAAACAAATCAATCTAACCATAGATGTGATGTAAACAAGGACTGACATTTTGAAAATTAGGGTTAGGGTTACCAAAAATGTTCTCCGCGCACGCACTGAAATTTTACAGTCTCACTCCAGCCAAAGTCCCAAAGTAGGCAACCCTGAATAACGTCACATCAGTTTGTTCTTCAATTCGACTCCAAATTCCTCTATAGATCATCTTCTTCTGTCCTCTGTCAGCAACTTTTGCGAGCTCCAGGTTCTAGGTCATATTTTGTGTGAATATGAAATAATCCTCAGTCATATGATAATAAAATAAGCTGTGTTCTCAGAAGTGGAATTGCACTGTAGGTCACAGTATAACTGGTGTACTTTGTGTTTTACCACGGCTTCTCCAGGGTTATCAGTCAGAAGTGTGTGTGTTTTTGTGTTCCAGCCGAACGCAGTGGTTGAAGCGTGTGCTTTGCTGACCGTCAGAGGAGACGAGACCGTCGTTTACCGGGTCAATCTCGTGGCCCATACAGACACAAATACAGCCACCTAGACATTCATTCATTATCTATGATTATATAATTCACTGTTACTGAACCCTGATATTTGAATCCAGTTGAAGACATCTTTGTGATCATTATTGATTTGATATGAGTTCATGGTCTTTTTTTAATGCTGTGTGTGTGTGTGTGTGGTTCTGTGCAACAATAAATAATGATGTACAAAACATTTACAAGGATGCCTTTATTGTCAAAGGAAGAAAGGAGACTGGCATATCCCATTACAGATAGAAATACTGCATCTTTCTGTATTGTTTGAAACACATGTACCAGATGTGGCCCAGATCTAGGCCTACACTGTCGCTGTCTGTGTGACACTACGATTCATACGAGCTCACCAAAACTGGACAATAAAAGATTGGAGAAACATCGCCTGGTCTGATGAGTCTGGATTTCCGCTGTGACATTCAGATGGTCGGGTCAGATTTTGGAGTAAACAACATGAAAGCATGGATCATCCTGCGGTTCAGGTGATGTGATATATATTTTTTAGCACACTTTGGTTCTCTTATTAGCTATTGAGCGTCGTGTAAACACTATAGTCTACCAGAGTATTGATGCTGATCATGTCTAGCACTGAATGACCATCATCTAACGCAGGATAACACACACGACACAAAGCTCAAATCATCTCAAACTGGTTTCTTGAACATGACTGAGTTCACTAAACTCAAACGGCCTCCAGTGTCACCAGATCTCAGTCCAGAAGAGTGGCCTGTGACTATGGGCGCCTGGGCTACCATGCCGAATGGCTTAACTCTATTGGCCTGTGACTATGGACATCTGGGCTACCATGCCGAATGGCTTAACTCTATTGGCCTGTGACTATGGACATCTGGGCTACCATGAGGAATGGCTTAACTCTATTGGCCTGTGACTATGGACATCTGGGCTACCATGCCGAATGGCTTAACTCTATTGGCCTGTGACTATGGACATCTGGGCTACCATGCCGAATGGCTTAACTCTATTGGCCTGTGACTATGGGCGCCTGGGCTACCATGCCGAATGGCTTAACTCTATTGGCCTGTGACTATGGACATCTGGGCTACCATGCCGAATGGCTTAACTCTATTGGCCTGTGACTATGGACATCTGGGCTACCATGCCGAATGGCTTAACTCTATTGGCCTGTGACTATGGGCGCCTGGGCTACCATGCCGAATGGCTTAACTCTATTGGCCTGTGACTATGGACATCTGGGCTACCATGCCGAATGGCTTAACTCTATTGGCCTGTGACTATGGGCGCCTGGGCTACCATGCCGAATGGCTTAACTCTATTGGCCTGTGACTATGGACATCTGGGCTACCATGCCGAATGGCTTAACTCTATTGGCCTGTGACTATGGACATCTGGGCTACCATGCCGAATGGCTTAACTCTATTGGCCTGTGACTATGGGCGCCTGGGCTACCATGCCGAATGGCTTAACTCTATTGGCCTGTGACTATGGACATCTGGGCTACCATGCCGAATGGCTTAACTCTATTGGCCTGTGACTATGGACATCTGGGCTACCATGCCGAATGGCTTAACTCTATTGGCCTGTGACTATGGGCGCCTGGGCTACCATGCCGAATGGCTTAACTCTATTGGCCTGTGACTATGGACATCTGGGCTACCATCCCGAATGGCTTAACTCTATTGGCCTGTGACTATGCGTCACAAAAGTTCTCTGAATTCAGTGATGGTGCTTAATGAAGATGCTATATAGCAGTGTCTCCACGAAGATAATAAAAATGTACTGCAAACATTTCAATTTACGAATCATGATTTTACGATATTTAAAAAAGAACTTGAATATTTGAGCTGATATTACTATATCTATTGTCTGAGATATATTGCTAAAGCGTGATTACTTGGCATTTCATATCTGTCTCATGCAATGGTTATGTCAACACAATTTGAGAGTGAATCCCACATATTACACTTATCTTTGATGTTGGATTTCTAAAACCACACTGCACTGTTAACCCTCTGGGGTCCTTCCGCCCAAATGGACCCGAAGCATTTAAAAAAAATTTTTTTTTTAAATCATTGCTTTATCGGAATGGTCCGAAATTTGGTGACTTTGTTGGTACTTGGCATATGAACACCCCAAAAAATTGGGGACAGGATTTGAATAGTCTAAGTGGCTGTAAAAAAAATAGTCACACTCAGGACCTTCGGGTCCAAATGGACCCGCATAGGAAATGAATGGGAAATTGGCAAAAATGTGAAAATACAGAGTTATTTTGTGCGTACAAACTACAAATCAGCCACGATCCAGAAAAAAAGCACACAACAGTGAAGGGGTGAATCTATAAAACATCAAGAGTGCAAAACAGACACATCCACACACACACACAAACACACTTTTATACACATACACACTAATAAATTCAGATTACATATGGGTTTTGAATTTTTCAAATGCTCAGTTTGTCCACCAGATGGCATCCATCTCATTTCAAAAATTGCTTTCATGAGGCCTAGGCTTGACTCTAAAATGAAATACAGCTTTAAAAAAAATTAATATATATTTTTTAAATTTCTATTATATTCAATGGGGAAAAAATGGGTCATAATTATTGCATTAATATTAATTATAAATCATTTTTATTTTTGAAATTCTCAAAACACCAAAAAAGAAAAGAAAAAATATTATAAAACAACAAGTAAAAAAAAAAGATGATTTTTTTTAATAAATATTAATCCCACCCTTCCGGCCCATTTGGACCCGAAGGTCCTGAGTGTGACTCTGAAATGAAGGACCCCAGAGGGTTAAGGCAAATGCTGACCAAGTATTTGAAAGTTAAACGGCGAGCTCATTGGCTACTGAATATGCAAGAACCAATCAGCTGCACCCTATTGATAACCGATTATGAACAGGTGAGTTAAAGACCTATTAGCCTGCACCATCTAGACTAGTTTCATGCCAGAACTTTAGCATTAATCACTGAGAAGTTAAGTATAACATTGAATTAGATCGAGGAAGAGCTTTCAGGTATTGGTCACATTTTAAATGCTTAATGTAAAACCTATAGAAGAACAGAAACAGACAAGGTTAGGGGTGCGTTTTTTAATGTAAATGTACCCCACTTGAAAACAGTATACCTTTTTTGTAGGGAACACAAAGAGAACTTCTAAAAATGCTATTAGTGAATTAACGAAAGTAGTAATACAGGAGCATTTAGAGTCCTGCTTTTAAATAATCCAAAAGGGATTGAAAAGTCCCAGTTTAGAACAGCCATTAAACCGTTCCTTACCTCAATGCAGATTACTAGAAGTCACACAGGACAAACAAAAACTCAGTGCAAAAATGTTCCAACCTGACCCGTAATGCTGCCTGAATCATGATCATACACGGTTCGCTGGACAGTGGAGAACTAGTCCTCAACTGAGCCTGGGTTCTCCCGCAGTTCTCCATTCTGTCTCCTGATGGAGTTCTGGCTCTAAGTTACCAGTGTCACCTTTGGTTTGCTTAGTTGCAGAAATGTAATATTCAACATCATCATCTGTCTGCATTGCCACCATTATATGAGAACAAAAAAAATAAGCCATAACTGAATTTAAGCTGGACTACGAGGCTATTTGTTGCATTATTTGTCACAGTTTTATCACAGTAGAGCTGCTTCCAGACTTCCAGCTTCAAACAAACTTAATCCACAGAAACATGCAACACATCACTGATTGTATAAAAAGTTTTATTTGATTCATGTTTTGTAGCCAGTACTACTGTACAATCATGGACAGGGGGATGTGTATGTGGTCTCAAACTGATCACCTGAAAAAAGGACAAGAAATTAGCCTGAGCATACAGCCAACTCAGCCAAACTCACGAGTCGATGAAAGCCTACTTGTCTGATAGTAGTCATAAACATTGATGACTGCTGGCTTGAGATTTGAGACTGCAAGAACCCGTTTTAGCCGTAGTGTGTAAGTTATGGGGAAGCTTTTGAGAACCTGCAATACAGAAGAGATGAAGAGCAAAGATGCAAATACACGATGGTGGCAGCTAGTAATGTACCCAGTGTAGCCTCACCTCTTTCAGATACACTAGGACATGATCATCTTCAGCATCAACCCGCTCCACTAGCGGAGCAAACGATTTGGGTGCAGAACCAAGCTGAGAATAAAAGACCATCATTTACAGAGAATTACATCTGAAGGAGCTTCAAGCATCTTACAAGTCATCTTAAACCAGTACAAACCGGTGACGTATCTGCCATGAAGCCCGACAGGAGCTTAATGTCCACGATAACCATGTTAGTACTTGCTTGTGCACCATTGTATCTGAATAAGGGGAATAAAGAGGTTTAGACAACGGGAACAAGCAGCTTTCAGGGCATTAAAACCATAAACAGGAGCTGATTAAGGAAGTCAAAGATGTTCTTACTTCACTGTGAAGTTCAACATAAGATTAGCCCCAAGCGGTCTGCAGTCTCCAGTCACCTTCGCTTCGACACTCAGCGTTCTGGAGACTTTAATAGGTGTCGGGATGTTGTAGAAACACGCAATCTATGATAAGTAAAATACAATTAGTATGTGCACAAAAGAAACAGAAATGGAGAGGGTGAAGATACAGACCTGCACAGACACACAAGCGGATCCTGACGCTTTAATACTATATTTGCCGGGAACATTCTTCAGCGGCTTCTCCTGATACAGGAGCCTGTTGTCCCGACTCACACTGAAGCTATAAGAGTCTCCGCCTACTACTGAGGACTGTACGGTAACGGTGCTGGACCCAGCCAAACTGAACACTTGAGCAGCGTACACAGACAGGGCATGAAGAGCCACCACAGTGTCCTAAAACAAGCAAATTATTAAACTCCACTCAGATATGGTTGATTGTGCTCATGTTTGGTAGTCAGAGGCACCTGGGTGGAGGAAAAGCCTCCATAGGGATTCTGCTGGGTCACCAGCCAGTTGACAATGCGGTTAGCATAGCTCAGAGAAGCCGTTGTGAGGGGCTTAACTGTGAGAACCGCTAGCAGCACGTAAGAGGTGATCTCCAC